GCCATGACTGTGGGACATTCACATGGCTCCCCCCCATGTATTAGCCTCTGCTTCTAGATGCCTCCTCCAGGAAGCCTTCCCTGACCACCCTGTCTCAAAGATCAAATCCACCCCTCTTCCCTGCTTCATTTTTTTATAGCACCAGCTGATATATAGGTATTTGCTTACAGCCTTTCAACCACACAAAAGTGTTAATTCCACCACAGCAGGGATCTCTGTTTTGTTCATGGCTGTATCCTCAGAACCTACAACAGTGCCTGGAGCATAGAAGGTGCTCAATAAATATTTGTTATTGGTGGCCACCTGGAAAAGGGATTTGAATCCATGACCCTGGTGCTACAAAGCTGTGCTCTAACCAACTGAGCTAACCTGCCAGCCCAATAAATATTTGTTGAGTGAATGAGTGGTGTGGGGAGACAGGACCTCTGATATATCCATGAGCAAGTTTAACTGGACATATGTATGTAGCTTGATGTGTTGGTGGCATGTCTGTCTGTGTGGGGCTGTGTCTATCTTTGTGCATGCATGCCTAGCATGTGCCAGGCCCCAGGACACAGTTCTGTGTGCGACAGTAGGGGTCCCTGTCCAAGTGTGACTCCATATCTGAGTGTGCATTTGTGAACACGATTGTGTGTGTATGAAGGGGATTCTGGGTGTGTGTGCAGGCACAACTGGGTGTGTGAGACTGTGTGTGTGCCGTGCTATTCATGCCAGGGTGTCTGAATCTGGCCAATGGTGTATATTGTGGGTCTGGGACGTGACCTGCAGCTGTGGCAGGAGGTAACAAGATGTGGATCTGATTCTGTGAGCCCTTAGTCCATGGATGTAATTGTGTGTGAGTATCTCCATCGATGTTGTGAGTGCATATGTGTAAAAATCCCCTACTAAGCCCACCCCCTCCAACCATCTCAGTATAAAGCCACAGGCAGCCCTCCCATTGGCCGCCCTACCCCCAGCTCAGAACACTGGCTGTCAGTAATTGCCCAGGAAGTACAAGCAATGTGATTAATTATGGCTGCTGAATATGCATATCAGCTGGGGGGGTTCCCAGCAGCCGCCTGGGTGCAGTGAATAAACACAGAGAGCTCGTGGAGGCCCAGAATTCCCTTCTTACACCTCTGTCAATTAACCTTTAATTTACAGGGTTGAGTTTCTGATTCATTCATTAATGAGCCTTTGGCTAATTAAAAGAGTCCTCATTAAACTATACATTAATTGTCCCTTCCATCCAAAATGCCTGCACCAGGATGGAATTGTAGCTGCAAAACTGAGACAGGTGGACCTGCATTCAAACCCGGGGTTGTGTATTGCAGGTAGTCACTAGCCCTCTCTGAGCCTCAGTTTCCTCCCTGCCTCACCTGTAAAATGGGAACGGGAGATGCTGCCCAAAGTGGGCTATGATCATCAAGAAAGAGAGTACATGCAAAGTGCTGAGCCCAGGGATGTAATTTTTAACAACCACAGCACAAATTCCCCTAAGGGAAAGGATAGCTTGGTGTCTAGCAAAATGTGTTAGTGGACTTCATCACTTTCTAGCTATAGACTCTGGGCAGGTTCCTCCACCTCTCTGTTCCTCAGTTCTCGCAACCACAGCACAAATTCCCCTAAGGGAAAGGATAGCTTGGTGTCTAGCAAAATGTGTTAGTGGGCTTCATCACTTTCTAGCTATAGACTCTGGGCAGGTTCCTCCACCTCTCTGTTCCTCAGTTCTCTTATCTGCAGAATAGGGATAATCACAGAACTTCCCTCAAAAGTTTTCATGAGGAATAAATGAATGAATCCAGGTAAAACATTTGATGAACAGAGTGTGGCATGTAGACACTCAATAATGGCAATTATGACAATTATTGATAGTGTTAGTTGAACTAATCATGGGTCATGTGGGCATAAAGATATGTCTGTAAGGAGAGGGCAAAATGTAGGGTTGAGTGCATGGTTCATCATAAAAAAGTGAGATCAATTTGATCTTTATTGAGACAGCTGTGTAGACAGCCTGAGAAGGCAGTAAGGAGTGTAGACAAGGAGAGATGTCAGGGAGGGTGTATTAGCCCATTTTCCATTGCTTAAAACCACATACCTGAAACTGGGTAATTTATAAAGAAATGAAATTTATTTCTTACAGTTTTGGAGTCTGGGAAGTCCAAGGTCAAGGGGTGCATCAGATGAGGGCCTTCTCCTTGGTGGGGACTCTCTGCAGATTCTTGAGGTGGTGCAGGGCATCACATGGTGACAGGGCAAGAGCATGTGTTAATGTGCCTACTTGCTCTCCTTGTAAAGCCATGAATGCCCCTCTCATGATAATCCACTCATCGACTAACCCATTAATCCATTAATCCGTGAATGGATGAACCCATTCATGAGGGCATAGCTCTCACAATCCAATCACCTCCCAAAGGCCCCACCTCTCAATACTGCCACATTGGGGATCAAGTTTCCACATGAACTTTGGAGGGGACAAACATCCAGACCATAGAAGAGGGGAAGGAGGGAGGGGGCAGCAGAATGGCAGAAATCCAGACTTGGGCAGGGCACACCTCTAGTGACAAATTCCTCCAGTGGCAGTAACTTTTGAGGACAAGGATATTCAGTATTAAATTTTCATTTATTCATTTTCCTGCAATGAGACCTCCTGGCTCACACACGTGCTTCCATGCTAATCTTCAGTAAAAGTTGGATTCACTCACTGTATTAGTCAGGATAATTAGTGATAGCTGCTGTAACAAGCAACCCTAAAAATCTCACGGGCTTAAAATAATTAAGTTATTTCTTGGTCACATCACTTTCTGATGGGGGCCTCCTCCAGGCAATGACTCAGGGAACCAGGCACCTTCCGAGTTCCACATATAACACTCCCATCTTATGTACATGACCTGCAAGGTCACCATGAAAGGGGAGGGAAGAGCCCAGAGGATCTCATGCAGCAGGGTTTATGGCCACTCATATCCCACTAACCAAGACCAGGTCACATGACCCAAACCTAGCTGCAAGGGAAGCCAGTAAATGTGTTCTCAGTCATATGTACCCAGGAAGAGGAAACGAATATACAGCATTGGTGCTGCCACATGCACTTTTGAGTTTAGGATGTTTGGGAGAGGAATTAAAAGGAAAGTAGAGCTAGGTCTACATTTGGGTTAACAGAAGAAATCAGAGGGTGAAGAAACCAACAAAAGCAACAGATCAGAAGAGACCAAGAGAAACATCAGCCCCTCAAGCACCTTCATTGGTATATGAGGTGTCTGGGCTCTTCACTATACATAGGATATTTTCTCAAGACTCCAGTGGCTCATCCCTCCCATCCTTCAGGTCTCTACCCAAATGTTACTTCCTCAGTGAAGCGTCCTCTGACTACCCTATTTCAAATAACCCCCCACTCCATCACTTTTTATGTAACTTGCTTAATTTTCCCTCACAACAATTACTACCACGTGAAATCACATCATATAGCTATTTAATCATGTATTATCTGTTCCCCTCAGGAGTAAGATCCTGAGGGCAGACAGTAAAATCTTTCTTCTATCCCCATTATCTAGAAACAGTGCCTGGCACTGAGTAAACACTCAGGAGAACTGAGTGAATGCATGAATTAACTAGCTAATTAATCTCTGGGTACTAACACTCTTCATAGGGTCAGGACTCTTAGCAACATTGATTGAATGAACGAAGGAATCGAGGACAAGTATTCAGGTGGCCTTAGGGGATCGGGTGGCAGGAGTAGCAGGGTAAGCAAGCCTTGGATTTTTGGAGGAAATTCATTCCAACCCACAATCTCTACCCACCCAATCCCACCTGACTCAACTCAACTCATGCCAGTCCTCCATAACTCCTAACTAAACTCAACCCAACAATGTCCATCATCTGATGAATGAATAAGCAAAATTTGGTATTTCCATATAATGGAATATTATTCATCAATAGAAAAGGAATGAGGCACTATTTCATGCTACAACGTGAACCTGGAAACCATTATGCTGAGTGAAAGAAGCCAGACACAAAGGGGCACATATCGTATGATTCCACTTATATGAAATGTCCAGAATAGGCAAAGCCAAAGGGACAGAAAGTAGATTAGTGGTTGCCTACAGCTGGGAAGTTGGGAAGAAATGAGGAGTAACTGCTAATGGATATGAGATTTCTTTGGGGGGTGATGAAAATATTCTAAAAATGATTGTGGTGATGGTTATACAAGTCTTTGAATATACTAAAAACCATTTAATTATACACTTTATATAGATGAATTATATGGTGTATGAATTATATTTCAATAAATCTATTAGAGAAAACCTCAACTCAACATCTAACTCCCCATTTCAAGTCACCTCAAACCCATCTCTCATCTTAACTGACCCCACATTGACTCACCAAACTACCAATCTTCACCCCCCATCCACAGCAACCCCCACTTACCCGTACTCAGCTCATGCCACTTATCAAATTGACCCTAATGTAATTCAACTCAACAGCCAATCCCAAACTCTTAACGCAACCCTCCCATCACTCAACCTCCAACTCAACCGATCCCATCATTAATCAACAGCCACTCAAACCCACTCAACCCACCCCAGCCAATATCCAGCTTATCTTAAACTCATTTTCCACCTAACTCACCCTACCCTTAACCTCCAACCTCCAACTCACTCCAATCCTCAACTACTAACTCAATTATCTCCACCCCCAACTCACCTCGTGACTTGCCAGCCAAACCTTCGACCTCTCGTCATTTCACCTCAAACCGTAACCATGACCCACATCATCTCAGGATCCATCCACTCAGCCCAGTCAGATATTCCAGGACTAAGCAAACCCAACACGAAGAGCTGGCTATTTTCAACTTTTCCTCTAGTAGCTTGGGTTAATAAACAGGCCTACAGCCTCCATTATATTAGATTCCCAAAAGACACAATTAATTAACTAAGACAGGTGGTGGCAGGTCTCTCAGGTGAGACAAATGCCAGACCCTAAGAGAGAGATGGCCAGCACCAGATGAAAGACAGAGACAGGAACACAGTTCATTGATTTATTCTCAGATTTGAGATGGCAATTATGCCCTATGGCCTGGGGGTGGGGGAAGGGGGCTGTGCCGGAATCTTTCTCATCATATCCCAGCCTTCCCTAAGGAGGAAGCAGATTAAATATACAACAGAGGGGATTTTCCCTTTTAATACAGACCCAGGTATAAATAGGGCAGCACCATTAGGATCCTGATTCACCCCCACTATCTTGGTCCCCAAGCCACCTGGCATGGCAAGGTGAGTTTAGGGAAATGGGGGGTGGGGGGAGGGAATTATGCAGAGCTGGGCTGAGGCAGCAGAAGAAACACACAGCTCAGTCAAGGGAAGTCCCTCTTCCCTCTGGAGTCTGACTTCAGTCCCTTCACCGTGAACCCACCTGGGAATAGGAATGAGTGAAGGGTTCCCAGCTTGGGATCAGGAGACATCCAGTGCTTAACTATGGGGAAGGGTAGCACCAAAGGGTGTGAGGGTGCTGATGGTGGGGTCGGGAGGCAGGTGTGGGGGGCATTCATCTGCTTTGAGTTAGAAGCTCATTGCACAGGGGTTTAGGAGAGGGGAATTGAGGGTTGGGGACGGATGGAGGGGAGAAAGAGCCAGACTACAGTTTTGCCACCTGGGGTGGGGTGGGGTGGGGTGAGCAGAGGCTGGACCCTTGGGCCAGGGAAGTCCAGTCTCCAGGCCCCCTGGAAGGGAGAGGGAATATTGTTTGACCGTGATGAGCAGACACATTGCCTGGTTCCAGAGTCACAAGAGATGATAAATATGGTGGCTTCAAAGCCTCAGCACCAAATTTGCCCCGTCTGGGGCTCCCTCACTGTCCCCACTGTCCCTCCCACCCCAGAGACTTCAGCTGCTAAAGCAGACAGGGCCCAATTCAAACCCAAACTTCTGGTTCGTCTGGCCAAAGTCAGTGGCAGCCACGTCCCACAGGGGCAGAAAGCCCGCTTGGGAAGAACTGAACTCCAAGACGGTCTTCGCCTGTCCCTTCCGGAGCTGACCACGAGAAGACAGGGATGGTGAGTTAGGGGGAGGGAAGCTGAGGCCTCACCTCCCCACTCTGGCCAGCCCCTGCCCCACCACCTTACCCGACAGCCATCATAGGGGACACTGATGGTGGCTGCTGCTGTCTGGTTGAAGGACAGCTCCTCCCCGTTGGCCCCGAGGAAGCGGAGGGAGTGGCCGTAGTCACCCGCAGCTTCATCCAGCCAGGCGGCAGAGTTCTGGCAGGAGTAGGTGAAGCTCTGGCGGGCCGTGGCGCTCAGCAATTTCAGGAAGGTTAGCTGTACCACGTTCACTGGGGAGCCATCGGCGTCCACGTAGGAGAACTGGGGGTGGGACAAGTCCAGGGGTGAGGGTGCTGCATTAGCCCCTACTCTTTCTAAGAAACCCACCTCCCAGGATCTCTGTGCGCTGGCTGACCTGCCAGCCTCTGCATGTTCCCATCTCTGGGGCAGCCCCACCAGCCACCTAGAATTCCAAGGCAGAATCCTAATAGTTATCATTCACATCCCTTCTGCCTCCTCTTCTTCCAGCAGTTCCCCATGCCCAGCCCATTTGACCACCCAAATCTTGGTTATTTCATCCACCAAATCCAGGGCTTTAACGCCCTTATCTCTATCCACAACTCACAGCTCTACCTCTACCCCAAATCGCTCTTGTGAGCCCCTGACCTATAGAGCCAACTGTCCCCCAAGTCCCCTGTATCCACTCTGTCCGATATGGCAGCCACATGTCCAATATGGCAGCCACATGGCTACTGAGCACGTGAAATGTGGCCAATGCTATACACCAGAGGAAATTTTTTTACTTTATTTAATTCATAACTATGAACTGAATCTCAATCCAGTTATCAGAAAGCTTATGTTTGGAACAACTTGGGTATGTGAATCTACTTTTTCAACTGTTTTTCAATGGTTTTATGAAATCTAAACGTAGATTAGTTATTCTCAATAAAATTTAGCGTCCAAAGTGTGATGTGCTGTAAATGTAAAATATGCACCAGATTTTGAAGAACTAGTATGGAAAATATAAAATATCTTAATAGTTCTTTATGTTGATATGACAATAGTTTTGATATATTGAGTTAAATAAGATATATTCTTAAAATATAACTGGCTTGGAAACACATCTTTTTTGGCTTCCTTCTCTTCTCTGAATTGTTTCCGTATTCCCCAGCTGATGTTTTCTGGAATCCCCTCCCAGATAAACTGCTTGTAATTAAATTCTTCTCTTTGTGTCTGTTTTTGTGGGAAACCAAGCCAAGAGACACCTTCACATCATATTACAGCTTTATTTGTTTCCTTGGTGGTTGTCTGCCTCTCCCACTAGGAGTTCACCTTCGTGAAGTCAGGAACTGTTTTATGTGCTATGTTCCAGTGCTTAGCACATACATATAGGTTATAAAAATAAATCTCAAACTGAGCCCCCTTGAACCTGCTCTTCCTCTCATTGACATATCTCAGAGAAGTCTCACCAGACACTGGTGCCTCAAGCCAGGAACCTGGACATCTTCCCGATCTCCTCCCACCCCTCCATCTAATCAATTACCAGGTCCTAGGGACTTGCAACTCTTAGATATTGCTCCAAGCCATGCCCCCTCTCATCTCCGTAGCACCAGCTCCAGCACAGAGACCTCCTCACTCTCCTGGACCAATGCACCAGTCTACCCCTGGGTCTCCTGGCCCACAGTCCACACCCTACATGTTTCAGAGGCATTTTGCTAACACAGAGATTTGATCTGGGTCTCTCTCTCACTTAAACACATTCCATGGCTCCCTACTGCCCATAGGTCTTTCTTGGTGTCTCCCTCACCCACCTCCCCAGCCTCTTCTCCTACCATATTCCCTCTCACCTTCTCCAAAGCAGAGCAATCAATGGCTTTATCTTCTTCAAATTCACCAGACCTTCTCTCGACTCAGAGCTTTTGCATATGCTGTTCCCTCTGCCTGGAACACTTTTCCTTGTCCTCCCTAACTTGTGAACCCAACTCATTCTTTAGGCTTCAGATGAGCTGTGACTTTTACCAGGAAGCCTTCCAGTCCTCTCAGCACTGCTTCTGGATTCCCACCATCTCCTATACTTCCCCATCTGAGCACCACCACTCGGTATGGCAGCAAATTTCCTGTTACACATCGGATGCTGCCCCCTGCCCGCCTCCAGCCTGTGATCACTACGGAAGCAGAGGAGAGTCTGTCCAGTTCATCTCGCCCCTCACAACCCCTCCTCCAACTCCCTGTGCTGGTTCCCACCATTTTCATACCACCCCCCACCTCGGCCTCTGGCGACTCACCTTTTTCCCTCGACGGAATGTGCTATACCAGTTCCCAGGCTTTTCCTTGGACCAGGAGGCCAGTTTCACCTGGGGGAGGGAGGGGTGGGTCACTGCAGCAGACGTCCTTGGTGCCCACCCGTATCCCCTCTGCTTTCACCTGCTCACACTGAAGGCTGCTGCATCTTAGGCTATTCTCTGGCCAGGAGAGTGGGCTCGGCCAGTGCACAGAGGGGCAGGGGGATTCCTGCCTGATGGGAGTCGGTGGATAAACACCAGCTCCCTCACCTCCCCAAGTAGGAAAAGTCTCAAGTTCCTGTGCTACCCTGTCTCCCAGAGCTCCCCAATGGGACTGAGCTCTGGGTCCCCGTGGTGCCTTTATGGGCTGCCTTCCCTGGCCCCTCTCGCTTCCCCTCTCTCCTCCTGCTGCTTCCTGTGATCACCTCCTAGATAAACGACTGGCTTTCGGATCTTTGTCTCAGGGTCTGTGTCTGGGAAACCCAAACCAAGAAATCCCCTCACTCCCCTCCCAAGCCTCTCTTTAGGTCAATGGAAGGTGGGCTGGTGAAGGGGAGACCAAGTCCTGCGCTCCATAAGTGGAAGGTCTGAGCTCATTCCCATCCACTGGGTGTCTGAGCTCCCTCTAAACTAGGTGTCTGACCAGTCAAAAATAGCAGCAAATATTATGCAGGCCCGGTGCCTGCTAAGTGCTTTACCTGCAGCTAGAGGTATTAACACAGCACCCCGCGTATTCAGGTTTTAGTAAACATTTCCTGCCATTTGCATCAGTACCTCACTTGTACAACCACCCTATGAGGAAGATAATTTCTCATGCCCCATTTTACAGATGGAAAAACTGAGGTGACCTATTTGAATTCCAACCCAGGTGGTCCGGGGTTCAGAGTCAGTGCTGCTCACCCACGGCCCTCCACTGCTAAGCCTGGCATCTGGTGCGGGGAGGCTGTTGGGCTCAGGGCTTCCTGATGGATGGAGAAACCCGGGACTTCTGGGGGACCAGTGGTCTCACCTCCCAGCCCACAGCCTGGAGGACAGTGAACCCCTGGCAGTGTAGCTCAGTGCTTAAGGGCTGTGACTCTGAAGCCAGACTGCCTTGGAAAATCTCATCCCTGTTCCGTGCCTCAGTTTCCCCCTCTGGGGGTGCTGGTAGAACTGAAATAATTGGGTGGTTGGGACTCAATCAATCAAGCAGCAGTGTCATCGGGACAGGCCTGGCATACCTAAGCACTATGGAAAGGTTCAGCACCATAACCGATTTCTTTAGGAGTTTCTCTTGTCTGTTTACCCCACAGAGGGTGAGCTCCATAAGAGCAGAGAGATTTTTTTCTTTTTGATCCTCTGCTGTAGTTCCAGTGCTTCAGACAGCACTTGGCATACAGTAGGCTTGATAAATGTTGGTTGAAGAAAAGATAAGGTCCCAGACAAGACCTGGTGTGTGGGCGGAGATCGGGGGTTGATGGGTGGGGAGCAGGGGACAGGCCTTCCTGGGGAAGGGATGAGGTGGTTTTGAGCACTCACGGTCTCGAACTTCTTATCGGGGTACAGGCAGGTCTCTCCTCCCGCCGTGAAGTTGCAGAAAACCTTGAGTGCGTCCCGAGAGCAGCCCTGGTTGGGATCAATCCAGTAGTCCCCTGCCGCAGAGCCAGGCGGGGTGGGTGAGTCACCAGGGGGACCATACCCAACGCGTCCTCCCCCAACCGGGCCCCCCAAGTCCGCCCGGACCTCACCATCGGGCAGGTGCGGGTGGTTGCGGCGCAGCTCGTGGCACATGAGGCCTGGACGCTCAGCTGTGCCCGGGGGGCGCTGCAGCTGCTCCAGCTCGAAGCTCAGCGACGTGAGCGTGGCCAGCACCTCCTCCAGGCCGTCCTCCAGGGCCCCAGGGCCCCGGACCGAGCGCCGGCGGCGCAGCCCGTGCAGCTCTGCAGAGGGACCCTGGGCATGGGGGTGAAGGTGGGATGGGGATGGGGGAGTGGAGCAGAGATGAAGAAGAGACGTGGAAGGAGGGAGAGACAGACCAGCGACAGAGAACGGGGAGACAGGCAGACAGAGAGAGACACACCACAAGAGGAGAAACAGAAAGACTCAGAGATGGGGAGAGACGGAAGCAGGAAGAGGATGGAAGAGACAGAACCATGAGGTCAGACGAGGAAAGCAGAGAGACAGAGACAGAGGGAGCAGGAGAGGAGAGAAACAGATGAAATGGGGGAGACAGAGCCAAAGGAGACAAGGCCCAGGTCAGAGACCCCATAGAGTCCCTCCTAATCCCTGCCAGCCCCCCCAAGCCCAAACCCTCCTTGGGCTTTCAAGGAATGGCCCTCCCCATCTGCACCCCCTGAACAGCTGAGGTGTGCCTGGCCCAGTGCTGGGCACTGGGGGACCCAGCGGGGACACCCCAGACATACTCCCTGCTCTCCCCCCAGGTCCTGGTGCCCAGCTCCCCAGCCCCACCCTGAGAACTCACGGGGGGACCAGGGGGGCCTGCAGGTCCAGTGTCTCCACGGGGACCAAGTGATCCCTGTAGAGAGAAGTCATTTGGGGGTGAATTCTGTCTATGGAGACTCCTTCCCGCCAACACACACACACGCACGCGCATGCGCACGCACACGCACACTCACACACTCACACACGCACACTCACACACACGCACACGCACACGCACACACACTCGCACACACGCACATTCACACACGCACACACGCACACGCACACTCACACACACGCACACTCAAACACACGCACACGCACACACACGCACACGCACACATGCACACTCACACGCGTGCACACACACGCACACACACACACACACGCACAGTCACACACTCACATTCACACGCACACGCACACGCACGCACATGCACACTCACACGCACACATGCACACGCACACTCTCACACGCATGCACGCACACTCTCACACACACATGCACACGCACACACGTGCACGCACACACGCACACACACTCACTCACACGCACACGCGCGCGCACACACATGCACACACGCACACTCACACATCCACACGCACACTCACACACACTCAAACACATGCACACGCACACTCACACACACGCACACTCACACACACTCAAACACATGCACACGCACACTCACACACACGCACACACGCACACTCACACACACGCACGCGCACACTCACACACATGCACACACACGCGCGCGCACACACACACGCACACTCACACGCACACACACACGCACA